TGGTAACAACGTATCAACAAAAATTAATAACTCAGGCCTAATTTGTAATTAGCAGCAAGAGCACAAAAAATATGAAAATGATAACGTTCAAATTTCAAACTGCCACACTTTGGACGAATAATATGGGATATCTCACGTCATCAGGGAACCCTCGACTGGATGCATCCAAATTCTCAGACATATCCGCCTTCTAGCATTCATGTGAGGCATGTAGCTGACGTTTCGATCAACCAGGCATTGGATAAATGGGATGATTTTGAGCTAGGCACGGGATGCGCATAAACTTTATTGGATCAATCTGACACGCGAATTGGCGGGGTAGCTCGGTTGGCAATCAAGCTTCTTGTTTGGCGATATCAGAGGGTTTTTTTTTTCGCCATCCGCTTACAGTGGCTAGCGGAACGTAGTTACCTGTGGTGGAGTGTACTACCAACAAAATGTTGTATGATACATGATCACATGAAAATACTGGATGAATATGCTACAGTGATATATGTTTCAGCCTAAAGAGTTGAGGTATGAGTGTATAATACTAATGTGCTGATATAATGGTTACATTCTACGTGGACATTCTGGAGCAGTAATGTTCGACGCCTCGCGCAGATCATTGCATCTGCTAGCTGTGCTCCTACCTTCCCGTGCATGCGCACTGTACTCGAGTCAAGTTTGCTTACGCCCAAAAGGGCGTAAGCAAACTCGACTCGAAACTTTCGTTTTCTGGTTGGCCACTTCATGGCGCTGGCACATTTAGTGGACCTCACCAATTTATTCCTCAATTTCGGTCAAAGGCCAAATAGTGAGAAAGTCAACATATTCTATGGAATGATCGTTCAGTAGGGTCAGTAAGGGTAGCGGTCTTTCACCGCGATCATTTTCTAATCCAATTGACTCATCATCCTACAAAAAAGGTTCACTTTCTCTCGCGAAGAAATGCTGCTCGCTTGATCTATGTTTATCCTGTCTTCTTGTCCTTGTCATCCTTGTCATCCTGTCTAAATCTTTAGGCAGAAGTACCGGTTTGATTGCTGAGTATAAGTCCTATTATTCAAATATGAAGCATCCGGTCAAATTATGAAGAGATTTGTAGTTATGCGCGGACGAAACAATGTGAGTAATTATTCCGATGAAAATATCGTTTGTTCTCTCGATACACATTCCGATGGGCAAAACCTTTTAATATGTTTTTGGCCCTTGGAAAATAAATTATTAAATGAATCACTATATTGGTAATGGGGCGCCGAAGGCGCGACAATAGCGAATACGAATAATCCATATGAAGTCCATCTTTAGCTTCAAACCTTGGTTGCGAAGCACCCAAGGTCCGAAGGTAAAACGTAAAGCGCGCGCGATCCTGCCAGGAATATGGGCCGTCTGACGAATCTTAGTGTTTGCTTGTCAATTCTACAAGCGGAACGCTTCAATATATGAATTAGACGTTGCAACAGAAACCTTTCGTTTCATGCGAATTCGTGCTTAAGAGAAATGAAACTTGCAAGGAGATAAAGTTCACCAAAAATCGCATATTCCCTCTCATCTCGCTATCTTTCAGACGGATGAGGAGACAAGGCTTGCCCTGTTCCTCAAAAGAGAGCGCTGGCACCCCTCAATGCAGTGCCTCCTGCCTGCTGCCGGGAATCCAGACATTTCTAGCAACCATGATGGAATATTGGGGAATCGTCCGTTCTTCCCCACTTCTGTTCGCAAGGGCTATGCAAAGAAGTCCAACACAGCAGTTCCATCGTGGATGTGCATCTATCAAAATGCAGGATGTTCGAATTGCAAAATTACGTGCTCTTTCATCGCTGATTCCATCACCCTTAATCCTTTAAAAGCGCTTACGACCGACGCAAGGATTACAATGAAGGTGAGAGTTCTTCGAACGCTGCATTGAATTCCCTGATTGCCGCCGCTTTATTAGCTGGCAAACAAATTAAAAGTGTAACATATCGGTGACGGGAGCCTGCAGTCAAGAAATGAACATAGGAAATCGTGACTGGGCTTGTGGCTGTAAGTTCCCTCTTTTCCTCTATTCATATGAGCTGCTGTATGATGCTAGCCGTTGATGTTTCTGATACTGAGACTCCCCAACATTTTGGTGGTTGTGGTCTCGGGTATGTGCCGACTCTGAGAATGCTTGTTGTATTAATAGATGGCAATGGGAGACATTCTCGCATAGGTTGGAGATTGCGCTCTGCAAGCATCCTGCTTTAAATTTGATCCATACGCCAATTACGGATTTTTTATTTTGCTTCATGGGTACCATGCACCATTGACGTACTGAAGTGACACGTGAAATGACAGGTGAAATGAGTTTTGACAAATGACATTCGCATTCTCAGTGTTGGATTGCCGTTTCAAGTTTAGAGATATTACTGAATTATTTATCGTTGCCTTTGATGACTCAATGCTAAATTTACATTTTCGGGCGCCAAGAATAGCCATGAGTGAAATGAGCCCCCCTGGCTTTATGCATATGACATTTCCCAAGTGGTCACATGAACGTTGAAATGACGTTCATGACGTTCGAATTGTGTTAAATAGTTTTTTGGAAGTCCACTGTACCCCGATGAGCAACTTTTGCGCTCACAGCTAAGATTCCGTTTGATTGCGAAAGAAGTTGCATGAGAAGAACATTCATTTAATGTCCAACATGTTTTAATCACTCATAGACTAAAGTGCGAAAGTCCTTACCCCATGCAAAAGCAAACTTTCTGGAAGTTTACCTCTGGAAATTTCGGGATATGTTTTTATAGACCTTTCTAGATGGTGAGGAAAAGTATATATAGCTGTGAAAACCGCAAATCGTTATAAACATTCTTGAGTTGGGAGAAAATGCCTCGACAACGAAATAATTATTCGTCGAAAAAGAAGCGGCCAACTATTTTACACTTCTGAAGCAATGGCCATGGATCCGGTGCCTTCGACTGACGAAGATCCCCTTTCGGACTGTCAAGTACAATATTGCCATGATCAAAGAACACGATACGGTAGAGAAACCATGAGACAACGGCGAAAGAACTAGTGCAAACTTTGTTTCAGAACCGAGGTCGACAAGTGTCCTGATAGACGGTACGACGCCAGCTCAAATGGAGGGGCAACAAGCCTAAATACGGCGCCAATATTATCACAGAAGCACAAAGATGCGCGCGTACAGTGGGTAATTCGACACGAGAACGACGATTGCAGCCGAAAGGAATTCACGTGAGACCCCATACCGATTATTCAGGAATATGATTCGTCGATGGTCAAAGAATCCAAGAGGCGAGGTGAGGTGAATCCCGAAGAACAGACAGATAATGGTCAAGGGGCGGCCGCAGTGTCATTGGCCTGGTCGGCTGTCATTCGTTCTAAGGAATTATGGATGGCCCTTACTACGTAGAAAAACCTTCAGGATCAGCTCCTCCGTAGCGCCATAAGGCGTTTCGGTCGACGTTGGCTGCTGCAGCATGACGACGATAACAACCACAGAAGTCGAGTGACGAAGCAGTTCCAACTCGAGGAAGTATCCGAAACGATCGACAACCTTCGAATAGACCCGACGTCGATCCGATGGAGAACCTGTGGTCTATCCTCAAACAGCGTTTCGGGAAGTGGGAACCAACAAATTTTGACGAACTGGACAAATTTCTGCACGAAGAATGGGACAGAATCGACTTGGTCTCTCTAAGTGTGATCAAGTCGGATAGAGCGTGATGTATAGCTTGGATTGATTTGAAGGAAGAGAGGATAAGCTAGTAATTATGAAACTTTGTATCTTGTCTAATCTTTGAATAAAATTGGTATTGATATTCATCCCATTCTGCCTGAGAAATTCTTAGAATTTGGGGGGTAAATACTTTTACACCTAGGCGTTTCTATCGGATTGATCGGACAACGGTCTGAATCTCGTTACATGGAGAGAATCACATGGATATTTATTGGAATATTCTTTTATTTGTTTCTTGTTTTTTATTTATTTAAATATATATTGCATATATATATATTCACAATCAATGTATTCATTTCTTCTTGAAGGCAAGTCTACCATCCCTGTTAGGAAATAAAAGCATTCATGGAAGCAATAGGAATAAGGGTTTCTCAATGAAACATGTTTATTCTAGGCTATGAGATTGTGAACCCTACCTCACGCATTCACACATGCATGTTTCTGTCATATCTCTCGATTGTGTGCGGGCCCTCCCCTCCTTTCAGGATATGTTCTGCCAGTGGAACCCACAGTCTATCTCAGTGTGGGATTGGTGCAGCTCCCAGGTGAGATTCAGAAACGAAATCAAAAAGTGGATTCCAGTTGTCTATGCACACCAGCAACTGTCAAGGTCTGCTCGAGGATCCATTTCCTTTTTCTTAGTTGGAGGTACTATTTATGTATTTTGAATGTATGTTTGCATACCGTTGCTTATCCTGATTTCAGGCCCTTACCTGTAACGCAGGTCCAAGGAGTTTTTCATAGTCCTCAATAACTACATCCACGACTTCTACGCCTATAGACAGATGTTATAATTCCATTCGTGCAATAGTGTGATCAAGCTGCAAGACCTGGTTTCATTAGGAAGACGATGTCTTCTCTAACGAAGGCAGGAACTTCGGCGAACGTTCAAGGAAATGAGGCAATATATGGGTTTACTTTCGATTTTGCGTTTGGAACATTTATATTGACGATTGCGTAATTCTCGAAGGAGATTCCACTAGATTCAATGCCACATTGAAGTAACAGGAAGCGTATTCAGAGAATAAAAAAGACTGACGGACAAATATAGAGTACATTACAAGAAGTCATACAAACGAGTCATTATTGGCAATCCAGCGGATTATAACAGCTCTCTGTTTCTCACTGTTTAGGTAAGGACAAAATAAATGCCTACCATAATCCTGCGCCCAGTCGAGTAGATAGAGACTAAAAAGGCAAAATTTTTTGCATCCAGCGAACGAAAAACATTTTCGATATCCAAGACAAGCGGTTTCCGGCATCTGCCGCTGATTCAATTGCTGAAGAACCTGGCATGGATGGTCAGAAAATGAAAAGCTCGACCAAGGCCTACGAAACAGTTGTATCTTTTGACGAAAACAAGGAATCAGAAAATATTCAAATGCTGGATGAAGTGAAATATGCACGCTCCGATCGGAATCCATCTAGCCTCTTCGAATCAGTGCAGTCAGATGAAATTTTACTGACTGGTATCGATCCCGGATCGTGTCTATTACCTGTGGACTCCATGAAGGACATCAGTCATCAGAATGGAGGACGATCAGAAATTGACGGGAAAGCAAAACGTTTGATGTCAGTGAAGAACCACATCGCAGAACATGCTATCATGCAGGAGAAACAGAAGATCCCAATACATGTTGGACTATGGAAGATGAGAGAAACAAAAGTCAATTTGCCATCCACCGCATCAAGGATTTTCAAAAGGTTGTGCGTTGTCCTGTTCCTTGCTCTTGCAATGACTGCAATCGTATATTTAATTGCTTTCCTTCCATCAATGTTTATGCGACACGACAACACTCAGAAAGGATTAAGGAAAATGGCAGTCACGAATTTCACATCCGGAAATGAATCATTTGCTGTCAGGAAGTTTAATAACGAAAAAGAGTATGATGAATCTATCATTCCCAAAGAGGATATGACCCATGGGGAAGCAGAATTAACTACTAGAGGATCTGAAACACTCTCGACTGAGGAAAGTAGAGTCCCGACGTCTTCAAGCACGTTAAATGTTTCACGTGAGACGGTGATCTTGTTGAAAGAATTTCTGAATGAAATTAAATCTGTGCCTAAGATTTCACATAACGGTACCGTCTCTTATGTGGATTTGTGGGGATAATTCTGTGGTCCATGTGCTGATTTCAAGAAATAGGTTTTGATGAAGAATATCAGACAAATTTTCTGGAAGAAATGATCAGTATGAAGTTGAAAGTTGTTTCTGACTGTAAGTGGATGCGTGCCTCAAACGCTGAAATAAATCATTCCATCTCAGTTTTGCGCTTGACTAAATGAACTAAATGGAAGTATTTCCCCTTTCATGATTGTGTTCCTTTTCATGGATGAACCTCATGAATACCAAAATAAATACGTTTCCCACACATTGTCGTGTACGTCCCGATAATTGTCGATGTCATTATGCACTCAATGCCATTACACACTTTCAGTCTGAATCATGCACTTGGAAAAAATTAACATGTATGCCTATTAATGAAGAATTGGTTTTCGCTCCTGTTTATTGGTCTATGGCAGTGGTATTCGAAGTGTGGCCGCATGTAGCACATTTCATGGTTTAATGCGGCCCACTATGACTTCCTAATAATTGACTTGTCCACACTCAATCGCTTTATCGGCACTGATGAACAATAATGATTACCAATTGTTTATTATCGCTGAAAACTAATAAATTTAGTCGTTCTTTGGAAATATGTAGGTACATCAATTACCTGCTTACAGTTTATGCTATACCTGCTCATGTATTTTGGTGTGCACCTGTTAAATGCCTAATATTCGAAATCCGCATTTCATGTAGAGATAAACGTCTTTTTTATTTTCTGAAATATTTACCTATTTTTTATTTAGTATTTACCGAAAATACAAATTGTAACGTAGTAGCACCTCAAATCCATGCGTTTACATGAGTCCCCACTCCAAGTAGTAGCGGTTTTCGTTATTGAGAGAAATGGAAATGTGTGGAAGTGGTAGCAATAAGCAGTCTTCGATTGTTGCCCGTTTTTTTAACTGGGATCCCCTCGGATTAGAGGAGCTTGACAATGAGATCCATGGCTAGATGAAGGGTTAATCATGCAAAATTGTTGATTCTTTTTCAATGCAGTTCACTTCAGGTTGACTAATGTTATTAATGCGGCCCACTCTAAGTGGACCTAAGTGTCCACGTGGCCCTCGCCTCAAACAGTTTGGGGACCAATGGTTTACAGTAATGCCATGTCATCTTTCCTTCACATCATGCACTTGGCAGCTACCCCTGGAAACCCACCGAAGTGCCGAAGTGTCTTTCACATGTCCCCGCTATCTTCATTTTTACACAGGTTCACCTACAATCATTCACGCTTTATTGAGCTTTTCGTCAGACTGAAACTGACGTTCGAAAGAGTCCTACTGCTCTAACTCGAACTCGTTACGGCTTCCATAAGGTCTTACGTCCTTGGCATCTTTTATTGTTTGTTATAGGCATTTTGTTCAAGTCCAGCTATAGCAAAGAGGTCGACATCTTTTATGTACTATCGAATTAGTTTTTCAGGCGAACAAATAAACTTGTAATAGTCATACCTTCAGCTTTTAACTGTTGGTGAATCTGACAATGATATTAAGAAAGTTGCACACTGCTCACTGTACTTGAGCAACGCATAAAATCGAGGGAGTTTATAAACCTGTATACTGAATCTTAATTTACTAGGTTCAAAAAGTTTCGAGAATCAGGTCACCATGGACGAACGCTGTGTTGCATACCAAAATAAATTTTGCTGCAGCTTAGTTAGGGTTCCACACGTCAGGGGCAGATGAGCAATGACCTCAAGTGGCAATGACTGGGTTGCCCTATATGCAACGCTTCTGTTAGTCGGCGATCTGCATTCACCTCTTGAAAATATCGCGTTTCAGAAATTTCCAGCTCTATCAATGAAGAAACAGCGATGCACTTCCCGTTCCGAATTTTCTGGCGCAGCTGCATTTGAACCGCTTCATCCGCAACGTAAACGTGGAGTTAAGGAAACGCTACTTACTGATTTTGATTTAGCGGAGGAACTATATTATCAGAAGGTTACGACCTCGTCATAGCCAAATAATAGACCTTGCCGGGTGCTTCAAAGCAGTAGGAACCATTGCCTGGAACGTCAATGGTCGTTGAGGGAGAAAGGAAGGAAACGCGTTTGCATTGTTGTTCTGCCCGATAAGCTCGCAAAAATCGGGCGTTTTCACCTTCCCACATCCAAAACGTTAGGTTTTTTAGGTGAATACTCAGACGGATTCGAATGGAACACTTTCCCACGATCGTGACAACAATATTGCCGAATTTTTCCTTTCTCCGCTTTGAAATGAACTGCCTAGCAGCACTTAACCACATTCATGAGGCCAAGATCGTGTGGAACGGCTGGATTGACGTCGGGCGTCCCTGCCAACCAGTATGAGTTAGTGGTTCGATGTGTACATGGGATGCTCTCCACACAAAGTTACGGCCTCATTAATTCAAACCGGACGTCCGAAGGTACAACGAGGTACGGAGGTAAAACATATAGCGTGTGCGATTCTGGCAGCTAGCTAGGAGTAGTTAGTTATACATACTACCTACGACGGCGGAGGAGGCTGTGGAGGTGGAGGCTGTGGAGGTGGAGGTGGAGGCGGTGGAGATGGAGGCGGTGGAGGTGGAGGCGGTGGAGGTGGAGGCGGTGGAGGTGGAGGCGGTGGAGGTGGAGGAGGTGGAGGCGGTGGAGGTGGAGGCGGTGGAGATGTCAATCTATGGAAAGGTGCAATATTTGCAGCAAGTGTACATATCTAAGCCATGGGGTCCGTACACCTGCACGACCCCTCTTTCAGCGAGAATCCCATTCAGGTTTGAGCCATTGATATGCAAAACAATTGCAGAGAGAAACACAGACCTAAACAATGTAATTGGTTTGGTGCACCTGCATGGTACCTACTCCCTTTGAAGCTATTTCAGACTGAATATCGTGTGTAATTGAGAAGTGATAAATTATGTCTTTTATATAGTAGATAAAATGAAAATTTGATGGGTACTATTCACGTATTCAGTGTGAATGAACGATCGAATGAATGAAATTCTAAATCACGATATAGAATGGGGTAACCTTTTCAAAGAAGCTATGTCTCAGAGGGTTTTTTTGCATAGGTTCAGTGTGATCATGTCTTGTCTTGCTAATAGTGATTTACATGTTTGTAGCTGCATACGTGGGAAGGAATATATTTAACACCCACGTGTGGGCACTCTTTTATTTAGTCGAGAAGATGGAAGGGGACACTATAGATGCTGCTCTCACCAAGAACAAGAATGTTCTGGCGTTGCTGACTGAAAATGGGCGCAAGAAGACTTTCCTTGACATTCCTGCGATTGCAGATTTTGTCAACGTCTCGGAACTCATCAGATGGGGATTCTATCTGGACATCGATCCAACGACTGCTCAAGTGAATTCCAAGAACGAAGAGGAAGTATTGAACATCATCGTTTGTTGTGCTTTTTGCAATGGGAAAGGCAGTTTGAAGAGTTTCGTCAAGAGCGAACCAGGTCAATCCATTCGCTCTCGTTATCGCCGTTTCCCACCTGGGTACGATGCATATGCTACTCCTCTAAGTGTCTATCAACGTCATAAGGAAATAAATTGGATGTGCCCTCTGTTGACCGGTGAGTATCTTCCGAACGTGGAATTTTCATTCCGAGCTCTGAGCAGATGCTATCCCGACGATGATGAAGATTTCAATCCAAACCGGAGGAAGCTCCTTGGTTACAAAACCAGATTTCAATCTTTTGAGTTTTTTCCGAAGAAATTCATCGTCTCTGTTCATGAACTGGCGAGATGGGGCTTATACTACACGGGAATCCGAGATGAGACGGCTTGCATTTTTTGTCGTGTAATTCTTCACAACTGGGAGTTTCAAGATTCTCCATATGAGGAACATAGAAGATTTTCTCCAAACTGTCCTTTGATTAAAGGACGCAATGTTATGGATATCTCATATGATGATCCTCTCAAATCTGAAGTCATCAAGGAAAGAGAAGAGAAGAATCGAGACGTTTTGGACGCTATCACCGATGTTCAAAGCAGACGTTCTCGTTCGAATTCCTTCAAATCTGGTATGTTTCAAGTGGTAATCTAAGTAGCTATATTTCTTTATTCTCATGAGATCTTTCGTTCTCAGACTCTTCAACGGAGCTAATCATTGACGATGGTGAAGATTCCTGCAATCATCACCCTCCGGCAGACGACAAAATACGATCATTACCAGATTCTCCAAATTTCAGATTCCTCAACGACCTCCTATGAGCAACATGAGCTCATCATTGACGATGGTGAAGATTCCTGCGATCATCATCATCATCATCAAACAGTCTACGAAGTACGAAGACAATAATGCAAAAGTCATTTTGAGTAAATTGCATGATTCATCGACTGTTTTCCATTCTGTTATCCAACCGATGTGTTTTTGTACATGGTATCACGTTATTCACTCTGAATTTCATGGGATTATGTATATACTTACACTTTTGAAAATAAAGTACATTATGCAAATAAAATGCAATAACTGATTTATGTTCATGAAAAAAATGGAGCAGGCAGGAAATGGAAGAGAGAAAAGAAAAGATTACATTGAGAAACGCTGAAGTTTTAGCAAGGAAAGACCCAAGAAAGAGGAAAGCAAAATAACCTCGCAAAAATGTGAAAGTCAAGTTGGTCAGACACCCGCAATACCAGATGGAGCAAAGAAAGTGCATGATGGTAGAACGAGATGTATTTGGAGAAGGCAAGAAACTGAGAGCCCGGCGTGGGGATCGAACCCACGACTATGAGGTTAAAAGCCTCATGCTCTACCAACTGAGCTAGCCGGACTTTGACAGAAGGTTTTCTTCATGAACTATAATATAAACGAAAATTGGAAACAGGCAGGAAATGGAAGAGAGAAAAAAATGATTACATTGAGAAGCAAGGGGATTTAACGGGCACGGGAAGAAGAATGCGAAAAAAACCTTGCAAAAAATCGAAAATCAAGTTGGCCAGACACCCGAACCGTGGGAAGACGCCAGTGAATTTCTAACGGCTGCAAAGTCTTTTCCTTGCTTATTTTATTAGTTCACTTTTGTCTAAACGTGTCCTGTTTTTCTCTGCAGTGCGACTGAATATTAGTTAAAAGTTTGGCTGCGTGCGAAAGTATTTCAAGTTTTTTCTTTATTTTAGATGTCTCCTTTCCTGATATTGATATTGATGGGGGGATTGGGGGGTGTGATTCCCTTGTGCGATCGAGGGGAGCCGCCTCCCTTCCCCCCATCTAGGAACCGAACCATCCGTGTGCCAGATGGGCAAGTTACCCTAGACTTTGCCTGTCTGGCACATGGATATCCCGAAGGAACCTTGCTCCTAGCAGGGAAGGTTACGTGTTTGCATCGTGAGGCCTTCCCTGCAGTGATTTTCATGGGAGATTGCGAATGTAAGCATGGAGAAAACGCTTATCATAATATTCTATAAATGAATGTTACTATTCGTGAACTGGTTCTTTTACAGATCCAGATGAAAGCACCAACAATACAAACAAACAGATTGGTTAGTATGTTGATTTTACTTGGTTACTTTTAATCATTTCATGAAAGGAATATGTATTATTAATTTATTTCAGCCCTTGCTATAAGCCTCCCATTGGTGGTGGTGTTTGTGCTGACGGTTGGAGTATTTTTTTTCTTTCTTTTTCGCCGTGGCCGCTTCGCCTACAACAGCGATGACCCTTCCCCTCCTTCCATTCCGCCACATAATAATCATGGTGTGATGTAAGGAACGCTGTAGTATCTAAATCTCTTTACTCGTTTATTGAAGCATTGAAAGAATATTCTTTGCATGTATGTTCATTCATTACAGTTGGATACGGGAAGACCTCCTAACCGAGGGAGGGGAGGCTCGATTGATTGCATTGTAATTGTAAGACAAAAATATAGTAAATCTTTATTTAAATTATGCGTTGTGTTTGGATGTATACTCGTATCATTTGTTCAATATCTGACCAGGAAGAAGAGGAGGAAGAGGAAGAGGAGGGGGAAGAGGAAGAAGGAGAAGAAGAAGAAGAAGAAGAAGAAGAAAATAAGTTTTTTTTTTCATATTTAATAAGAAATTTTCATTTATTGTTTTCAATTCATAATTATGAATATAATCCTGTTCTTTCCCAACTGTATGAGTGATTTTAAGTAAAAAGGAGAGTACAAAAAGGAAAGAAACAAAAAGGAGAGTATTGAAGATGAAGACAAATAGAAAAGGCTTCAACGTTCGAAATGAAAAGGGTGTTGTGGAACGTGATCTCCCTTCTCAGATAACCAGCACGGGATGTTGTCTTCTGGAGAATGGCTAAAATACGGTCTGATACCCTACTCCCGAGCGAAGCTATTCAAAACATGTATAAGGATTTCGTACTTCATTTGCAGTCTTGCTTTCGTGTGGTTGTATCCTGTTAGTGATTATCTCAAGTGTGCGCAAAATATAGAAACTAGATTGAAGTAGAAAAATATTTCCCTAAAATATCTTCCTATCTTCCATCGTTTAGATGAAGACCATAATAATTTTCATGCTAATGATCGGTGTGACTCCTCTGTGCGATAAAGGAGAGTCTCCTCCCTCGCCCCCATCTCGGAACCGAACTATTCGTGTACCAGATGGTCAAGTTGTCCTTGACTTTGACTGTCTAGTTACAGGTTATCCTGAGGTTCTTATGGTGCTCGCACAGGAGGTCATTTGCATAAATCGCAAGGCCTTCCCTGCGGTTCTCTTCCTCGGGGAATGCTTGGGTAAGTAGGAGCATTTGCTGTAAATCGAAATGAAGGAATATGAAAAATTATATTTGTAGCGCATTTGCTTCATAGACTTATTCAATGTCACAATTCCAACCATCCCATCTATTGTTGCTACCACCACCGCCACCGCCGTTTCCGCCATCACTTTTACTGCCACCGCTACCACCGTTGCCGCTGCCACTACCAGTACCATCACCATCACGGATACTTCTATCACAGCACCCTCGCCTCATTTCACATGGATTATGGCTATTATTGGTAGTAAAATTTTATCAGGGTAAATCTACCTACTTGAAATATGTATAATAATGACAAATGTTTTCATTGTTTTAGTTTTTGCAAGTACGCTTGTGGTGTTGGTGGTGATTGGAGGGGGTATATGGATCATCATGTATCGAAGAGCGAATCGATTTATGGAGTGAGTGTCAACGCACCTTTGCTATTAAAATAGTTAGATCTGATTTTACAAAGGCCATTTTAATCTTCCTAGTTTGTCAATGGAAGCCGTTTCGGGTACCCCCATGGATGAGTGAGATAATATGCGTATTTCAATTATGAAATATACACATTCTAACTATTCCGGTATTTTCATTTTTTTTTACCAAATAGGGAATTTAAACTCATGTGAAAGCTAACATAAAAATGAGGCATTGAGAAAATTTAAGTAATATTTAGGGAGGAGACGCTCATTGCGTTTGCGCACGAAGATAGACCAATAAGGACAGGGTAGGTAGAAAGCGGCAATGACGTGTAACCGATATCGGAGTCAGTGAACCTTGCTCATCCACAAGTGTGCGTGTATGTGTGTGTGTGTGCATGCAAGTGCATGCAAATCGGAGACTCAATGGATGGAAAGCAGTGGTCATGTGCTGTGTGCGCGCGGAGATTTAGCAGGAAAGATAATCGAGACCGTCATCGACGCACGCACCTCAACAAAGTACGTACGATGAAGTTTGAAATATTTACGAGCATTTAAATTTATAAAGAAAGAAGGCTCTTTCTTATATGATATTGATGGTCTCTTTTCGTAGGAGGAACGATCCCTATATCCGTGTCCGCATTGTGAAAAGCGCTTTTTGAGAAAGGATACTCAACGAAGGCACTCCCGATTATGTCATCTTCCTGCAGCAACGATAGTGTCTTCTGTAACAGAAGATATGACACAGAGCGATGGTGGTTCCCCTACCGAAGATGTCGAAAGTGGTAGATCATGCGGCGAAAATTCGTTAGATGAACAAAGCTCATGCGCTCTTGTGGAAAATCCAAAAGACGAGGAACAACACCATCACGCACAGGTATGCTACAAGCGTGTTTTCATTATCTGAAACATATAATCTAAAGCGATGATAATTGATGCAGGCATCGACGACGAGTGTCGCTACAGGTATTGAAGAGCGTACCAAAGAACACGTCGAAGGAAGAAACGGTCATGATTTACCACCTGTTAAGAGACACAAGATTTCATCTAAAGAGACGGTGAATTTTTGCTGATTTTTAAATATTAATGTGCACTTTATTGTTAACTTATTGGCAAATTTTCTGCCTCAGTTATCTGATTTGAGTTCTGCTGCGGGCCATGAAAACAAACAGACGTACGAACAAAATGACAACGAGGAAGATTCTCTACTACACAAAGCATCAACGAGTTCTGCTGGACAAAGTGACGACAGGAATACCGACAGAAGAGGAAGAAATGTATGAAGCACATCTCATCTTTGGTTCTAAAATAGAAAGATCATTCACGAATACTTGCGTTTATATGGTATTTCAGGAAGAAGCAGAATATTGTCCTTTGTGTGCTCGTGGTCCATTCCGCTATCATTTCAACCTGAATCAACACTTTCGGGATGTTCACCTTGGACTCAGTGACTCTCATCCGCGATTGCACCCAGTGAATCAGGTTGGTGGAGGTTCAGATATTCAACGCGTTGGACGCTTCACCCTTGTGGAAACGGCAGCTAATCGTACTGCAGAAAACTATGTTTTCGATCCTGTGACAGAGAATTTAGACCCCGAGAGTTTCATCATGGCTTCTCGCGAACATCTTCTGGACTTTTTTTCTAAATATTTTCAACAGATAAATAGACAAGCATTGAAAGTGCAAGTCGTCTTGTCTGTTCATTGTCATCGCTTTACATTAGAAGGCCGAGAAACGATGATCATGTTCATTCGAACCGAGCCAGTGAGTATGATGGGTGAGAATGATAATTTAGAGGAAAGAGTGAGACAGATCGGTCAGAACCTCTCGCGTCGATTAGATAAGGCCGAAAATCAGGGAAGTGGTTGGAGCTACGATAGAGTTGAGGATTTCATAATAGAGGTGACGCGTTTCGAACCTATCAAAGGCAGTAAATTCGTGCAACTTCCAGTATCACTTAGACCTCTGCAATCGCTCATCAACCCTCGTAACGATGACGATATGTGTTTTCTCTTTTGTCTTGCCATGTCCGATCATCCACCCAAAGATGGGCATTTCGACCGCATCGAGGGTTTCAGGAAGTATTTTGCAGAATATGACGTCCGGGGACTAAATTTTCCTGTATCACCCACGCAAGTGCCAATATTTGAGAAACGTAATGGTCGCGCCATCACTATTCTCGGTTTTGAAGGAGCGCGCGACAAAGGGAAACAGGACAGGGTGTATGTAATCAGTGCCTCAACTATGCCCGAGAGCCTTTCGCGCATATTTTTACTGTTGTTGGAAGAAGGACACTATGTTCTCATCAAGAACTTGAGAGGATTCTTGAATCATTTTCGTAAATCACGGTGCTATCGCTACTGCGATCGATGCCTGGTAGGGCTTTCGTACAAGAGCTCTTATGACAAGCACAGGCGTTTGTGCTTGACGCATGCAGCTGCGGCTATTCGAATGCCAGAACAAGAGAAGTCCATTTTGGAATTCAATGCATATAAGAAATGCCTCCGTTTACCCATGGTCGCTTATGCCGACTTCGAATGTATTCTCTCGAAATGCGTGGAGGGAGGCTCGGATCGATTGCATAAACATCTACCCTTTTGTTATCACCTATTGGTGATAGATTTTTTTGGGCATGTTTGGACTGAGGTGTCTTACACAGGAGAGGATTGTGTTTCTCACTTTCTCATGACCCTTTTTATCTTGAGAGATGCAGCCAAGAAACATGTGTTGGAACGTGAGAAGCCTCTCGTTGTCTCGACACAAGAAAGAGAGGCTATCTTAAAGCAACCAGAATGCGTGATCTGTGGTAAATCTTTTCTTCCAGAGGAAGAGAAGCACATTGACCATTGTCATGTGACAGGTGAAATTAGAGGAGCCACTCATTCCACTTGTAATCTGGGATTTACAACTGCCAAAGAATCTTTCCGGGTCCTAATTCACAACTGTGGAAAGTACGACCTAAAACTCTTATTGAAGGGTATTGCCGATGGGATGCAAGGCTTGGTTAAGGATATTCATATCATTCCCCGTACTGAAGAGACGTTTCTCACCATGAAATTGAATGGAATCACTTTCCTAGACTCGTTTCAGTTTCTTAGCTGCTCGTTAGACAAGCTGGTGAGTTCTCTTGGTGAGGAAATGGATTTGACCATTTTGAAAGAAGCTTTTCCTGAGACAACACCAGAGCAGCTGACATTACTCCAGAGAAAGGGCTATTTTCCCTATGAGTATATCACGGACATGAAAATTCTGTCTGAGACCCAGCTACCACCGAGAGAGAACTTTTTTTCCTTGCTGAAAGCAGAAACAATTTCCGAGGATCAATATCGACATGCGATTCAGGTGTGGGATACTTTTCACTGCAAAACTATAGGTGACTATGGCTTGTTGTATTGCCGTGTTGATACGCTCCTCCTGGCGACCGTCTTTGAACGATTTCGTCGGCAGACAATGCACGACTTTGGCCTTGAGGCATGTATGTTCGTGTCACTACCCTCCTTGAGCATGGCAGCAGCTCTGAAGACTAGTAAAGTCAAATTAGAGCTCGTTACCAACATCGATCAGCACCTGATGTGGGAAGCCGGAATTCGCGGAGGTATTTGTGTCGCACCTGAAAAGTTTAGCAAAGCAAATAATATATACATGGGGTCGGCGCATGATGAGAACAAAGAGAGCTCTTTCATTTTTTATTTTGATTGCAACAGTCTCTATGCATATGTAATGTGGAATTTCAAACTCCCGTGCGGAGCTTTCCGCTTTTTAGATGAAGAAGAAGTCTCTCAGGTGAAGATACACGAATTGAGACCGGAGGATGAAACGGGGTACATTCTGGACGTTGATTTAGAATTCCCCAAGGAAGTACACGATCGGTTGCAATTGTTACCACCTGCTCCAGAAGTCATGGAAGTCACGAGGGAAATGCTTAGTCCGTATAATCGGAAGCAGATTTACAGTGCAGATAATCCATTCAGCCGGATACACCTCCCATCTGAAAACCGGAAATTGGTGGCACATCTAGCCTTGCACAATCACTACGTCGTTCATGGTCTCACCTTGCAGTTGTATCTCGAATTGGGGGTGCAAATCAAGAAAATACACCAGATTCTATCGTTTCAACAAAAGGCCTGGTTGCGAAATTACATTGAGGGGAACTTGCAGAGACGAGCTCAAACTACTTCGAAATTCGAGAAAGATCTATACAAATTGTTTTCAAACGCTGTCTATGGAAAGTGTTTAGAACGCGTTCGTTCCAGGAAGAGGATAGTAGTAGCGACGTCAGACAGACAGCTACAGAAACTGGCGAGGAAGCCAACTTTCAAAGAGAGGACAATTATTGGAGAGAATTTGATCCTTGTCCATCAGATTCCGACCCAAGTCACACTTGATAAACCTCTTTTTTGCGGTATGAGCATTTTGGACTTGTCCAAGAAACACATGTACCAGTTTCTGTATGGCGTTCTCAGAGCGCACTTTGGAGACTCCCTGACACTTTGTTATTCGGATACCGACTCTGTCATAATTCGCGTGGAAAATGTTGATGCCATTGAAAAGCTAAAGGCGATGAAAAGTCACTTTGACTTCTCCTCCCTTCCTTTCAACCATCCATTGTATTCACGAGAAAATGCATCTCGTCAGGGAAAATTCAAAGACGAAACTGGTGGAAAGATAATTTCTGAGCTCGTCTGTCTGCGTCCAAAGATGTATTCGATTCTCTTTGCTGGAGAAAACGAAGAACAGATCGTTCGAGCGAAAGGTATGAATCGGAATTCGAGAACGATGGACATACTCTGTCACACAAAGTATACAGAGGCGCTGTCAACAGGTCGAAACTTTTCAGTAACCAACGTGATGATCCGTTCGGAAAAACTTCAACTCTATACGGTCGAACAAAAGCGTCACGGCCTCGTCATCTACGACGACAAAGTGTACCTATACCGGAACCCCAATGGAGAATTCAAAACCCTTCCATATGGTCACTATCGCATTGCGGAAATTGCTACTGAGGGGAAAGACAGCGATGACGATGATGATGATGAGAACGACTTGCACGAGTAGATAGCTATTCCACATGTTACTTCCTTTTCGCTTTTTTCCGCTTTTGTGTTGGACGCGATCCTTCATCTGAGAGAGCATTGTTTTATTTCTTTTTACACGAAAGAAGGATAAATGCAGTTGATATCAATTTTGCAATAAGTAGCAAAATTTCTGTCATGTAAATAAAATTTTGTAAGATTTTTATCGTATCAAGTGAGATTTTTCATAATCTTTGCTTAATACTAATATAACTCGAAGACTAAGTTCTCGAGAATGGTGCTTTAAAATTACGAATATGATGTGCTTGAGGTCACTTTCTCTTTGCTACCACTCGCATGCAGAGCAAAATATTTGTTTTGGCAAAAACAAATATGGAGGTGACATTGGTGGAAACGGACATGTTATTTCGTTCCTGCAGTAACCTTATTCTTGTTGGAAACCCTGGTACGGGAAAATCATTCTTTCTAAAATCTTATATTGAAAATGTCCATCGCACGAGGCAGAATCCGATAAATCGACTGATCATCTGTTACTCTCAGTATCAGGAGATTTACGAGAATATGAAAGTGACCATGATACTGGAGAATCCAAAGTGTGATGTGAGTTTTTGTCAGGGCATTCCCACTCTGTTATTAGATATGTTTTCTCCGGATGTACATCACACATGTATCATAATCGACGATCTGGAACTCCAAGCTTTACAATCGAATTTAGTGTTTCAAATCTTCACAGCTGGTCGTCATCTCAAAGTAGAATGCCTGCTGACGTTACATAATATATTTCCCAGTAGTGGAAAATACAGAAGAGATATCCTGCTGAACGCCCACTATCTTATATTATTTAGACTTAGGGAGACGGGTCAAGTTCAGCTCTTTGCTCGTAGGAATTTTGGTGATAGTAGTGACTTTCTTGTACGGGCATATGAGGACAGCGTTCTCGATCGTGATGGATATGGCTATTTAATACTCGATCTCCTTCCTTCCTCCTCCACTGCTCATTTGCTCTCGGTACGAACGAGAATATTTTCACCATGCTCTGAACCACCTATGATATATGTCCGCGAGAAGGACTTGGTAAGGTATCAGAATCACCAACAGCAGCAACATGCCAAAGAGAAGCAGAGCTTGGATTAAACGTTTTACTTCTTACATACGCCGTCTTTACAGAAATCCAAATAATACGCTCGGATATGCCAGTCCAGAGAGACTCTATACGTTTGCGAAAAGGAAATTTCCATCTTTGAAAAGACAAGATGTCCTCGAATTTCTCAAATCCCAATCATCCTATACTTTGTTCGTTGGAAAGAAACGTAAATTTGATCGACGCAAGTTCTTAGTGGGTGGTCCACATTTGATCCTTGCAGCCGATCTTATTGATATGCAGAAGTGGGCAAGTGAAAACGAAGGAGCGAAATACATATTACTTACAATTGACGGATTTTCTCGCTTCATAAGAGCGTTTGCTCTCAAAAGTAAGACTAAAGAAGAGGTAGTAAATGCTCTGGAAAAGGTTTTCAAAGATATGCCGAGCTATAAAAAGCTACACGTCGACTACGGTCGAGAGTTCTACAACGGTAGCATGGATTCTCTTTTGAAGAAGTACAATGTGAAACGGTACAGTACCGGTACGGGTTTAAAAGCAGTTATTGCAGAGAGAGCAAATCTCTCTTTACAAAAGCGCCTCTTTAGAATTTTACATGACAAGAATTCGTTTTCGTGGGTTACAGTTCTACCACAGGCTGTGAAGGCCCTGAACGACAGCCCCCATTCGGCATTTAAAGGGAAATTCTCACCCCGACAGGTGCATCAAGGGATGACAGAAGTAAATAATGAGACCCTATTCAGATTGATTTATGGGTCTGTGGAAGAGAACAAACAGAGGCGGAAACGTTTAGAACGAGTGCAAAAACAACGGGATGAGATAATAAATATCAAAGCGGGGAGTATTGTCAGGATTAAAGAAAATCCCTTTCGTTTTGCTCGAGGATATTTTCCATTGAACAGTCGGCAACTATATAGAGTTCGTCAGATAATTGACACGGTTCCTCGGTTATATAAACTGTCAGCACTTGATAGTGATGATCAGATCCCTGGGACATTTTATTGGGGAGAGTTGATCCCTAGCCAGGAGGAACTCTATTATCCTGTGCAAGTCTTGGACTCTCGCGTAAATCCCAAAAGTGGAAAGCGAGAATTTCGAACTCAATTCACAGATTATCCTGAGACACCTAAGCAATGGACGGAGAGATTGAAGCAACTTCAGACGAGCTCGCTTTAATCAGAAGATACTGGTCTTTTCTGGTATATCTTGCTCAAGCGACAAGAGAAGAGATAGGATGCGTTATGACCTGTTTAACTGGAGGGCAGCTTCGTGTCATTTGTGAGATATGCAAAAATGTGCTTTCAAATTCGCTTCATCTTTCCTCCGAGCAAATCAGTCAACTGCAAACGCATAAAAGGGTTATTCGTTTTCTTGCCAGACCGGATGTTTCTAGAAAGAGGAAAATATCTGCATTGAAAAAGGCGGGCGCCGACTTCCTCTTCATCATTTTCCCTTTAATTGTCGAATGCCTAGCACCTCTCATTTAAGATATGAAAAAGTTCGTACTACTTCCTGAAGTCATCTATAGACAAGTCATGGGTGACATTGATGCAAATGATCGTGGCGAACACCTTGGGAAAAGCAAAGGGAGATCGCCATCACATAAAGAGCAGCTCCCATGCTACGGGGTCCCCGATCGCTATCGCAAAAGAGCACAGGACCTCTCAACCTATCTAATGCAAATACCGTCTGAAGAGATTGATTGGAGAGAGGATGGTTGCGTGATTTTACGAAATAATAGCCTAAAAAATTCAAACATCTTTGTGATATAGAGGAAAGATCACTTAGGGTACTCATTTAGGAGAGAGGGCGTATAACTCTGTAAAGATTTAAAAAACGAACTCTTTTTAACGGGGTTTTGTGATTAAGTATTACGCAACCGTTTTTTTAACATGGATACTCGCGTGATGAGGTCCAACGAGAATGAAGAGGAAGAAAGAAGAGAGGACAGGCAGGCATCATCAGTGTCCACGACGACTATACATGAGAAACCTAACATGATTTGGCATAGTTATTGATCTGGTTTGGACGACGCGTTTACACATGCGCAAACCTGACATAAGGTAAAACTGAAGTTAAAAAGGTTCCCGATTCAACTTGGAGTCGCAGTTCCCTTCAGTCCGTGACGAGAATCAAGTCGGAGATAGTTACGCCTTCATTACCAAGATGAACGGGATATTTTTCTCCGCGTGTTCCTTCCTTGTACGGGAGAAAAAACTCGCACGAGAAATTTCTCTTCTACGTCTGACGGGAGACTATGATCTTCTGACGTTCGTCATCGAGATGCCATATCCATGGGACAGCCTGACCCCTAGGGAACAGAGGATGGTACTTCTCCAAGAACAGAGCCTCACAGGACTCCCCTACGAGAGCCCCTGGATAGGAGGACTTCCTTGTCGTTATCTCAAACCAATGATGTCATTCATAAGGAGCAGTGCCTCGGATGGAATTTTCACCTGGGGAAAAGAAGATGCTCTACTCCTTCAACATTTAACGGGATACGAGGGACGTGACCTTCGTTCGTTCATGTCCCCAGCTGAGATTGCGCAAGTGGAATCCAACTCGTGTCAACCATGCACGATGCACCACCGAATTGGATACTCCCCATCCGAATGTTCTCTACGGCAAGCAAGGGCCATCCAGGAAGTTCTAACCATCAGACCCAAGTATCTCTCGAAAATCGAACCGGATAAGATGGAGGAAATAGATTGGGAGACAATTCCATGGGAGTTAAATGAAGTCGACGTCCATACGAAGATAGATCAAGAGTTGATAAATTACATTTCGTCTATACCAGAAGCAAATATCCAAAATGTGCCGTCTGCCTAGCTGAACTGGATTCATCTCGCAGTCTTTGCATTCAATAAAGTATAAATGCTCTGTCGCACGAACCTGTTGTTTCATACATTGCTACGATATCGCAAACAATGGATCTGCAAAACACGGAGACATATCTCTATCTGCTATCAGAAAGGAACAAGCCAGGAGAAGTTAAGTCATTTGAAAGGGGGGGTTAACGGGAAGTACGTAGAAACGGAGAACTTTAGCCATAGTGTCTCGACCTCTGATCACTCTTTACGGAGGAAGAGAGGAGAGTACTACATCTCTCGTTTAACATATATTGTTCGAGTTTGGGAAAAAAGCGCACCGATTTTCCCATCGACTGTCGATATGATACTGATGTGAAAGTAATTATGGGGCAAATTAACGACAGTTTGAAAAATCAGTTCGATTACAAAGAAAGTACAATGGGTCGACTCGAATATTTAAGAGGAGAAAATCGTGTGAAATTAACCAATTTCAAGTCGTTCGTGCATTATCACGATGATAAATTAACCTTTGGAAATAACATTGCTCGACTCTTGGGATTTGAGGCAGGAAAAGGATACGCATGTCTAGAGGAGCACAAAGCAGAAAATGCACCAGACTTCCAGTTCGGAAAATTTAGCATTAAGCTCACGTGTAATATTTCCACTCCCATCTATATAAATGGAAAAATCAGTCCTTCACTACGTCTCATCTCCCCTTCAGAGTTGGGAAAAAAGGTGCGCTTCAATCCGGTATATTATAGACCTCTCGTTGTAAAAGTAATTGAGGACATTACCATTCGAATTGTAGATGAAGATGAGAGGACGATTCTTTTCCCATCTAACTCTCTAACACGTATTGCACTTCATTTGCGTTTAATCACATTCTAAGATGATGACGAGAGAAAGAAGATTTGCGGTTGTCGTTTCTCTTCTTCTTTCAATTAGGTAACAATTTTGGGGGTGTATCACTCGCGAGAAATCATTTAAATAAATGCAATGCCGATTGGTTCTCATTTCCTTCTTATACATGGTCGGGTGAACACTCCCTTACTCACGTGCAAATTATTTGGATATGACTCACATTCCTTTCGTTCCACCTAATACCGATGA